TCGGTCCTGCCCGTTTCTCCCACGGGGGGCCGACTGTGGAATTCACGGAGTTTTTTTATTTACAGGCTCCCGGTTCTTAGGGTGACCAGACGTCCTCTTTTTCCCCCGGACGTGTGTGTGTGTCTCTTTATGGCCATGAGAAACAATGTTTAACTTGTTTCATTGTATTTCAAAATGTTTCGTCAAAATCGATCACTTTTCAACCAAGGAGGACGTCTCCTAAGTTATCATGTCTTCATTTTTACCTCGGATGTTAAGACGTTTGTATTAAAATGAAAAAAACAACAACAACAACAACAACCACCTTTGTTTAAAATAGGGCTGTATTTTAGTTTTTTTTCCTTGTTTGCCATTATTGAAGAGAAATAGCAACCCTGCAACTGTTTAAAAGTTTACTAAATTGAATAAGACTAGAGCGTTTACATAGATTTTTTATTATTATACAATATATAATATTATATATTTTATATATTTTTATTTTTTTTATTGCGGTCTGGCGCACTATGGCTGCCATCACATCATCCAGGTGGGGTTGCACATTGGTGGTGGTGGAGGAGGGGATCCCCATTACCTGTAAAGCGCTTTGAGTGGAGTGTCCAGAAAAGCGCTATATAAGTGTAACCAATTATTATTATTAGAAAAAGTAATATTCATTACTTTGGAGGCGTGTGTCGAGTGTCGATTATCCCCTCCGTCCTCTTTTTTGAAAACCAAAAAAGTTCCTCGTGTAAAAAAAAAACATCTTGCAAGGCGTCGAAATCAGAATTTCCCCAGTTTCATTCATCAAGACGACTATGCGAATAAGAATTTTAAACCAATATTGCAGATTTATTACTATGATTATGCGTCAGCTATTCCAAACCCCGGAATACCCAGAACAGCGAGACATTTCACTGCAGGTCCGACAGTGCAACAGCCTGGTGTTGGAAAAGGAGGGTACCCCTATCCGCCCCGGACAAATGGGGTGTCCACCGCGGGAGCCCTCAATCCGTCAGATTTTTTAGGTCACCTTTAAATCCACAATTTCTAAAGGCCTGGAAGAATTGGCTAAGGGTCAATTAAACAATTAAAAGCTTGTTTTTGTGGTTTCAAATGGGATTCTGGTGTTATTCGCTCTGTGGCTCAGGATCTGCGCCTGTGGCTGGAAGGTTGCCGGTTCAAATCCCACGGCCGGCAGGGGAATCCTACTCCGTTGGGCCCCTGAGCAAGGCCCTTCACCCCAACTGCTCCAGGGGGGTGTATGAATGGCCGACCCTGTGCTCTGACCCCAAGCTTCTCTCTCTGTCTGTGTCTCATGGAGAGGAAGTTTGGACATGCAAAAAGACAAATTCCTAAGACAAGAAATTGTATAGGGCCAAAAAAGCGATCATCTTCAGTGCTCAAGGACCAGTGTTCTTTTTATCGAAACTCGACTTGCTGAATTGATCAAGTGCCTGAATGGGTGTTTCAGTTCTTTAAGTTGGAGGTAAAGACCCTTTACAGAGGTAAAGGCGACCCTTAACAGGACCTGGACTGGGACTCTCTGGCACCAGGGCTACAGACCCCTGGTCTACAGCTTTTCCATCCAGAGGGGTTATTGACCAGTCGGCTCATTATTGCCCGAACTGGACCAGTCTGACAGCTTCTGTTCTTCAGGAGAACTCTGAAAGGACCATGAGAAGAGTTGAGCTCATTCTGTCCAGTATCAACGCAGCACAGTTCACAACCAGCGATCGGACACGTTATAAAATAAGCAGACCAACAAGAGAAACTTAAATATTTGCAGTCTTTATTTTAACAAGACTAGACATTTTTCCACTTTTGTCTCTTTATAGCATCTATTCCCACGATCTCCTTCTCTGCTCCAGTCATAGTTATCTGATACAAAAGAAAATAGGTTCCAATGGATTGTTATGGTCTCTTTCAGAGACATCTAGAGTCTTTATAAAATCGCTGTCTGTATTTACACACTTTCGGCTGCTCACACCCGACACCTGAACAGGACCCACTGTGTGCGGACATGGGCCAGGCTGGTGGGGCCGCTGAGGCGGTGTGTGTGTGTGGGACGGGTCTGGTCGGGCCTCCTGGGCAACTGGTCTCCGAGCATGGGCCCAGTGCCCGCCCACTCCTGCCCCAACACACAAACGCACCCGTACCCCCAGCATCAAACACATGCCGCCAGAAGTCAGTACGGCCACAAGAGACAGCGGTTCTTGTAAACCGATCAGTCACCCCAAAGAGGACCACGTGGGAAATGAGGACATGACAGCACCCTGAAATCCACTGCCAAGGAGGCGACGAATCCCGATTTTCTGTTGGCCGGCAGTGGTCGCCCTCTTTGAAGCCGAGCGCGCTGCATGCTGAAGCAGCCGGGCGGCGACCTCCTGACCCCCGGGTGCCCAAAGACGGACACTCTCCGAGGGGGGCACACTGCCCGCCAAGCGCCCTGCCTCCCCATCAAGAAAAAAGCTCTTGGTAAACGGACAACCTGAAGTTAAAAAAAAAAGTAGCTAATTCTTCAAAAACCTATAAAGAACATGCCATTTTTACCTGCGTATATAAATATAGATACTTTAAGTACTGTATATCAAATACCTATGGATGCAATCTTTTTTTTTTCCTGTGAGCATGTCTGATTTTTCAAAAATGCCTTTTTTTAAAAAAAAACAACATGCAATTAAATAATTTACTGTACAAGAACTGAGGACGTGTGACAATGGGAAGTCTCTGATGGTGGATGAAGAGAGCCAGCGACTTGCTTCCTGCCAGTCTGGCTCATTCCACTGGGACTAACTGCAGTCGGAACTGGAGGGACTGGCAGCCGGCAGGCAGGCGCCCTGCTGCAGCCAAGGAATGATTGTGAGGAACAGTCAAGCCCGAGGGACACGCCCGGCCGTTCCTCTGTTAAGCACTGCTGTGGTTCCTACAGTTTCATCTTACCCTGTATTCACTTCATACTGATCAAAGGCTCAGCCAGTATGAATAAGTATACCTAGAGCACACTGTTCAAGGTACACAATTCAAAGGGCACTTTTGGCATAAATTATCAGGTATGCAACTACACCCCACTCAAGGCAGGGGTCGCCTGGAGCAGGACTGACCCTGTGGTGGTGGTGGTGAGGGCGGGGGTTACATTTTCCTACAAGAGACAGACATGCATACGCACCCAGACAATCAGGCCTCGAGAATCGGATCTCCACCGCCTCCGAGAAACAAAGGCAGGGGGGTTTTGCCTGCGGTGCCGTCTTCATGCAGTGCGCGCGCGCAGACACACACACACACACGAACAGACCGTGACACGCACACACGCCGCCACACAGACACCTCTCACTGACTGTCTGGAACACCGTGTCGCCAGGGCAACACCTGCAGAGGCAAACTGCATTAAAAAACCTTATATTTCAAAGAAAATCTGTGTAATACTTGCTCTCCTCATGGCATCTGAAATACTGGTTTAAACTACTGATTTGTTCAGACAATCCAGTCTTGGTTTCTTTAGTAAAAACACTATTATAAAAAATCAGCACAAGGCTGATGCTTAGTGCTACTGGAGAAGCTAGATTAAGCCGTCGCCTGAAAAGCTGTTTTGCACTTTTCCTGTGTGCAATGAGC